GCACAGCCCGCGCCGGGGCAGCGGCCCGGAGCTGGGCATCAAGTGCGTGCTGGTGGGCGACGGCGCGGTGGGCAAGAGCAGCCTGGTGGTGAGCTACACCACCAACGGCTACCCCGACGAGTACCAGCCCACCGCGCTGGACACCTTCTCAGGTAGGCGGCGGGGCCGTGCGACAGCGGCCGCCTCGCTCGGCTTGCAGCCGCGCAATGGGACGGTGCAGCTTGGCGGGGGCTTCCCGGCTTAGACTCACTGCTGTGAGGTGCGCGGCGGGGCGCGCTTTGCAGGTGCCGCCCCTGCGGACCGAAGCCCAACAGCGTTTTCAGCAACTTGGACTGAGTCGCTTGGATGTTTTGTGATCCCTTTACCCGGTGGAAGTGTGGATTTTGCAGCTTTGAGGAAGAAGCAAGTGTAGACAGGGCACAGGCATGTGTCAGGTTGACTTTCCAGTCCTGTGATGTTCGGCTCCTGCCTGGTTCGGTTGTGTTATTATGCATAAACAGAAGAAGGGGGTTTAATGATTTATTTATATTATTTAGTTTCATAAGTATCATGCCTTGCACTTTCTAACTTCTGCTGATCTTCAGTAAGAACTTTTTTTTCACACATGTGCTCTAAGGCTAACACCGGACAGAAACTACAGAAAAATTGGGAGCTCTAAAAGTCTGGCTAAAAATGCTTGTCTTATCAGCTGATGAATAGTTACAGTTTTCTACTTTTGTAAAATACTGTCTTTCTCCCTGCTCTCCTCTTCTTTCCAACTCCAACTTATAATATGAAATCCAAAAATATAGAAGGCCCTTGGAAATATTTTTTTTCTTCATCTGGTACAAAGCTGCAGAGCAGGATGTGACAGTATAGATGGGCAGGTTAGAGATGGGCTCAGGTCAGATCAGGAACTAGACTTCAAATGTGTCATAGTCTCGTGGACGCTTAGAAGGAGCATTTTGTATGTCTGAGTATCCTCCTAGTCACTACTGTGTTGGGAATTCTTTCTCTGCCTTGAGCCTCTCTAAACTCTCCCACTGTCACTTGAGGGAAATGAAGTGGGAACTTGCCGCTGTTACAGGGTCCAGCGGCCCTTTGAGAACACATGTAAGGAGTCCTCAAGTCCTCCAAGGGAAAGGCAACTGCTCTCCCTGCTGCCTTCATGTTAATGTGTTCATTTTTGGGTAAAACAGGCTAGAATTTACCATAATTGTTAGCATCCAAATTTTTTGAAAGGGAAAATCCTTAATAAAACAATCAAGAAAGGCAGAGGCAGCATGAGTCCAGTGACTTTCCTATGAGCAGCAAGTAGTTTGAAGATAGCTGCATGTAGGTGCAGCCCCACTATGAATGTCCAAGTACTGAGCCTGGTTTCCAGAGGAGTGTGGCATTTGAGACTGATATAAATCAAAGATATCATTAAAATGGGTCTCCCATGGTTCACTTTCTGCTTATCTGGGAGGAGAAACAGGGATATTTCCCTTCCCATTCCTACTTTTAACCTGGATAAACTTGAAGAAAGTCCCTCCCTGAATTCACAGATCCCAGTTCAGGATCTTCATCAGAAATTTAAACCCTAAGTCTGAGCAGTGGATCATAAAGCCGGAACCAGTTAAAGGAGATAATAAGAAAGTCTTATGTTACTCGGGGAACAGCACTGGAAAATGGCCAGTGACCCAACCACCTTTCCCTGGGTGCTACCTAGAGCTGGGTGTCACTGCTAGGTAGGGCAGTGATCAGCAGAACGTGCACCTTGTGACCTGTCCCCACCGGGCTGTCCTGTTCCGCCTGCCCCTTCCCTGCTGTACCGAAATCTGGAGGGTGTGTGAGGGTGGTAGGGAGGTGGCAGTCGCTAGCAGTCATGCTAGCAGCAGGTGCGAAACAACTTTGCAAGCGTTGGAGCGGGAGGTAACACATGTGGTAGCTTTCTTCTGAAGACTGCTGAACATTTCAGAGATGCTAATTAGTCCTCTCAGCACCCTTGTGAGATAGAAGAAGACAGATACTAGAAAGGCAAATGCCCAGTGCCTTGACGAGTGAGTCAGGAGCGAGCAGGCTCTTTGATCAGGAACAGGTTTCTCTTCCTCCTCTGAGGCAAAGATATGGTAACAGCGCAACCCCTTCCCAGCCACAGGGAAGGGATGGCTTTCAGCTGCGCCACGAGGAGTGGCACCACTGTGCGCACCCATCCCTTCCATTCTCTTCCTTTGCTCTCAATCTCCCACTAAATGTCACTTCATCTTTTGTCCCATCTCCTTCTTTGTTTCCAGCCTGCTCTTGAGGAGGAGTGCTCTCCCAAAGCTCATATTAAACAATTCAGGTCACTTGTTTCTGTCACTTTTGTCACCTGCTAATTACTTTAAGAACACCAAAAGATTGACCACGCTTTTGTTCTTAAAACAACAACAACAACAAAAGCCAATGAAGCCTCCTCCTGGGCGCAGAGAGGGGGTTTAGCCACCTGGTGTCAAGTGCCAGCCATTGTCACTTTAGCACAGGATGTCTGCCTCTTTTCATGAGAGCACAGCCACTTTAAAGTGATTTCCAGTGCCTCCAAACTCTTCCTCCTTTTCCTCGGTTTTCTAGCCAGTCTCTGTGGTGTCTGTGCTCTTACACATCTAACAGTTTCATTCCAGATCTCCATCAGAGGAGCCAGCCCTCAATCTGAGTCAGCTGATACCACATAAAGGCTTACTGTGATTAGGGAATGAAACGGGTGCACACCTTGCATGTGTAACTCAGCACTTCTTCAAAAAAATGACTTTAGATTTTTGCTTTTCCTTAGTTTAGATACTGCTGGCAAGGCTCTTTTTAACCTTTTTTTTTATGGCTGAACTTCTGGCTTGAATGAAAGACACTCGAGCAGCTTGTTTAATGGACAGTAATTTGAACTGTCACCCTGGGCCAAAAAGCTGGGAGCTGAAATAAATTCCCAATTTGTGTTTATCTGTGTTTGCTCTCTGGGAGTGTGGCAGAGGAATATCAGACTGCTCCCAGCGCACCGTTCACCTAAGGGCTCTCTCTCTAGAGAATCTGTTGTCCAATAATAGGAAAACATCCTTTCAAAATGTCAGGAAAAAAAAAAACCCAACCCCCTCCCCCCCCAAAAAAAAACAAAAACACCCTAACACTCAGGTGGTAACCAAATCAGAAACTCTGTTGCCCTAATGTTCCCAGTGCAAACTTCAGATATTTTAATGAGGTTTTCAGCAAGACAGACAGCTATTACGGACTTCAGTGACTTCAGGAAATCTCTTCAATGGGATACAAAACAGAGTGCATCAGGGAAGAATTGTGTGTGTTTCTACATGTGTAAAGTGTTGTAGATGACTTCCTCGGACTAATCCTTATTCTCCTTCTGGTACAGTGCAGGTCCTGGTGGATGGAGCCCCTGTCCGGATCCAGCTGTGGGACACTGCTGGACAGGTAAGCTCTATCAGAGGAGCTGCCAGCTCTGGTGCTGCTGGGCAGGAATTACTCACAGGGTTTTGAGGCAGGCGCTGTTTAACTGGGAAGGAAGGAAACACACTAGCCCAGCATTAAGCATCTGCTGGTGTGACAGTCTTAAGCGACTGCCAGACGCCTGCAGCCTGGACCCTTGTGTATCAGTCATGGTATGGCCACAAAGTGGTGATGTCCTACCGAAGTGATGAAGTGATCAAACCAAAGTTTGATCAGCAAAGTGATGAAGCCATGAGGCCTTTACCTCTGAGGGGTTGCTATCCTATCTGATATGTAAAAGAACCACTAGGACAATGTGCTATTCAAGTTCAAACTAATATTTTTTTCTTCTTTTCCCACTTTCTACAGGAGGACTTTGACTGTTTGCGCTCACTCTGTTACCCAGACACTGATGTCTTCCTTGTCTGCTTCAGTGTGGTAAACCCAAGCTCTTTCCAAAATATTACTGAGAAATGGATTCCTGAGATACGAACTCACAATCCCCGGGCCCCAGTGCTGCTAGTGGGGACACAAGCAGACTTGAGGGATGATGTCAATGTCCTTATCAGCCTGGACCGCTACCATGTGAAGCCTGTGCCCAGGCCTCAGGCAGAAGGCCTAGCTGACAAAATCCGCGCTGAAGCCTACCTGGAGTGCTCGGCACTGACCCAAAAGAACCTCAAAGAAGTTTTTGACATGGCCATCGTCAGTGGTGTTGAGCACAAAGCTCGACAGGAAAAGAAAATGACAGCCAAAGGTATCAAAACCCTCTCGAAGTGTCGCTGGAAGAAATTCTTCTGCTTTGTCTGAAGCTGCTTTGCGGTTGGGCGGGAAAAAGAAACACATGACGCCAGTGTTGGCTCCGCACCTTCTTGGAGTGACTGCTCCTATGGCCCCAGCAAGGAGGTTATGATAAGCTGCTGGGCTTGGAAACTTGGCTTTTGCTGGGTTACAGTATCAGATGCCTAGGAGACATGAACTGGATCTCCATTGTACCAAGATGTGGATGGTCCAAGGCAGCTATAAGTACCTGCTGGACATGTCTGTAGTATCCCAGACTAATGGGAGCCTTTGATACGCAAAGACTCAGTACTACAGAACAGGCAGGTACCTTATATCGTTCAAAATGACTAGCTTTTTCTCTGAAAGAAACACACTTTCAAAGTTCTGACCCAGCACAATCCATTTCTGGTGTAAAGCTGGGGGGAGATTCTTGGTGTCTGCCTGTGCTTGGGTGGATTTACAGACTTGGCCAAGAGTAGGACAGGGGTGATTATGGGGAACTGCAGCATAGTGTAATATAGGCTGGGGAGTTTGTAAAGTAGGACTCAGGCTTCCCCTCTGTTTCTGCCTTCTAGAACAGGTAGAACTAACTTGGCTATGAAAAAAACAGCACTCCTTACAGGCCCTGTTACTGTGAGTACTGTCAAGAAGGTTTTTCCTCAATAAAGACCATTAGCAGACTGAAAAGAAAATGCACTGAGAGCTGCATTAAGCTTAAGAAAAACATTCTCTGAAGAGATCTCAGCACTCCAGTGACAGTGCTCTAGCCCCATTTTAAGAAGCAGTCACTAACTTTGGGTGACCTATTTTGAAAAGAATATGTGTAATGATTTGGGACAAACAGAGGATGAAGGGCAGTGATGAGGGGCTCTGCCTACCTAGCAGAGACTGGACTCTGCCAGTAAAGGGTTTGTAATACTACCAAGACGTGAAAAGTAGACAGAGTCAATGCATGTAAATGAAAGGAAAAGAGATGTCGTATGGAATAAAGAAGGTAGAAAAGAAGCAGATAGAGAAAAGAAAGAAGTAAAGGGAAGGAAGGAAGGAAGATGGAGAAGGAATGAAGAAGAGCAAACACTGTTAAATGAAAGTTGTCATTCCACTTTGCTGTAGAAATTTTGATGCTAATATTCAGGAGATTCTCTAAGGAACTGGAAAATTGCTAGTGATCTCATTTTCTAACAGTTTTATTGTCTATGCAACAAGTTACAAATCAAAAGGAAGGAGTTGGAGGGAGAGGGGGAGTTGTTCTTGGACAATGAAATCCTCAGGTTAAGATCTATGCAGGAGACCAGAAATTACCTTGTATCTTTCTTCCTAAGGTAGCAGAACAGGAATGGAGGAGGATACAGAGCTCTTTGTGTTGTGCTCCCCTTTCTTAAAAATCACAGCTTGCTCTGCTGAAACCAAAACCAAAGGAAACCCATACTTGCATCTATTTCTAAAACTAATCTCATGGAGACATTTCGCTCTGGCTTATGTAGCAAAGAGCATATCAAGGAATGCTTTCAGAACTCAGGGGCTTCACTGAAAATAGCCAAGGCCCATCTCTTTGGAAACCCACTGGAATAATGTGACAGAAGGGGATACAGTTGTGAACTGTTTTCCCTGCAGTAGAAGCACAGGGACCTGGACCAGAGCATCTGTACAACAAGAACGATACAAATAATGCAGTGCAGCTCTGGATCCAAACGCACACCTGCAAGCACCTCTTATAGCCACTTGTTTTGGTAACGCATCCTGTACCGTCCCAGGCTGTGACATAGGCTGCCACCTCCCTTGGCAGTGTCCTACCTGAAAGAGGCAGGCAGGGTTTTTTGCAAAAGGCCCACTGCCTCGGAGCTGCTGTGGGGTTAGGCTTGGAGAGTTGAACACGCTGGTGGGTCAAAACAAGCTGCAAGCAAGAGGACTCCCCCACGTGAAATGCCATTGGGGTCCAGTCAGGAATCCTAAAAGACAAAGAGTACAAAGGCAGTAGCTGGAGGTGATGTGTCCTGCACATCTCTAGGGAGGATAGTTTCCTGAACAAAGCTCTCAGTCATCAATATATCCCTGCAGATACTTCCTACCTGTACAGGCACTGTTGCTGTATAACTAATTCAGTTTGTCTGTTGGGTCTTTATGCATTTCTTTCACCTGTGAGAGTGGGCTCTGATGTGGCCCAAAAAGGAGAATCACATGGAGCAAATCACAGGCCCAAGTAACACCAGCCTCCCCTCATTCTCTGCTGAGGGGAGTGTATTGGGAATAGCACACGTTCTGCAGTAGCTTGGTGTAAAACAGGGATTATTTTGTCCTGGAAAAGAAGCTGGACTGAGAGCTGCTTTTTTCCTTTGTGACTGTGTCTAATATTTGTTTAAATAAATTTTTTTATTGACTGCAATTTGTGTTTGTAATTCCATGACTGCAAAGCAAGCTGGGTGTAGAGATAAAAAGAATCACTCCCCTCTTAGTGGTGATAGGATAAGAAAGAAATTACCCCATTTCTCTTTTCTGGGCCAAACCCCTGTTAGCAGTGCTAACATCCCCTTGTTTTGGAAAGCTGGAACCTTTCAAGATCATTCTGCTACCCAGACTTTCCTCTCCCTCAGCAGCTGCCCAGGGGTGGGAGTAGAAAATACCCAAGGCTTTCAGCACTTCTTCTCAGAGGCCACCATCTGGGGACTGGTCAGGAGGCTCCGCACAGCACTCAGTGGGACAAGCCCTTGGGGACCTTGCATTAGGAGCCTTAATAACAGCATGTTGCTCTGTCAGCAGGCTGGGGTGGGTAATTTAGCCACCAGCCTTATTTAACTGTTTAACATGGTAGTTAAACATGATTCAAGTGCTGAACAGTGCTTTCCACACCATGCAAGAGAGAAAGGCACTATCCAAATAGCTCATCCTTTTAGCCCTATCATCAGCCTATCGTCAGCATTGCCAGTAAGTAAAACCTAACCTCATCAACATTGGGGTGCATTGAGGGTGCAGCAGCTGCTCCAAAGGATAAGGGGTGGGAAATGAGGCTGCTGGAGGTCTTCTAATATCAAGGTAGGAAATAAAATGAAAAACAAAAAAGTTTCTTTTGACAAAGCCTGAGACCATTCTGTCCTTCTGCAGTGTGTTAGATGCAAAAAGATGCAGGGGGATTATCTGGAGCCAGCTCTCTGCTTTGCTGCTTCCCGGCATTAAAGCTCATAGAAAGACCTGTAAATGGAAATAGCAGGAAAGTGTGAATTTGTTTCACTGAGGTATATCCTGTCACGTGCATTGTAAGGGACACTAAAACTCCCTGAAATACCAAGGAAGATAGCTGAGTTCCCAGGCTGGGAGGTATCTGTCTCATTTAATGGAGCATCTCACTCCGGGTGTTTTTCAGCCTTGCCCTCCGTAAGGCAGCACTAGATCTGTGCTTGTATCTGTCTCTAGTGTACTTCAGGCTTGTTTTTGCACTGCAGCAGTCCTCGTATTTACCCTGTAACCTATATTTTTGGAACACACCAAGCACACAAGAGAGTTCATGGCAGAGCAGCTAAAAGCAATCACCCCTATCCAGATGGATGGACCTAGCCAGGGCCTTAACCCTTTACTAGTCCAGAAACTCCTCAGTGCCCCCTTGTTTGTTCAGGTCCCAACTGGACACTGGTCAGCAAATTCCTGCATCCAGCAGAGTGATCCATCAGGGCTTTCCCACCAACACGAGCATCATGGCAAGGAACTCACTGTAGCTAAGCACCATGACATGTAACTCCTTATGAAACAGAGCCAAAAAGGCAAGTCTTTGCCTTATGGCCAAAAAGGCAAGAGGTGCCTCCAGGAGTTCTCTATCCCCTGTTGGTTACATCCTATTCAGTTTGTGAGGGCAACCTGAATTTTACTAGGTCAGGAGCTAAAATGAGCCCAGTAGCAGAGACAAGCAGGAGCTCTGATGTGTTTGAACCTTGTTGAAATGCAATTACTAGGGCATAGCATCTGCCCTCCAGACTCCTGAGTCAGGTCTGCCTGTGTTAACGACCTTATCGCCTTAACACCACCAGTTCAATCCTCAGGGGCTAACTAGCTTTTTCTTCACATAGTCTATTTGATTAACATAATTAAATTCAAAGCACCTATTTCCAGCTAGGAATCAGGGTACAGTTTGACTTTTCTCAGTTGTAGTGACAGCCTAAGTAGCTTGCTTCAACTTTGCTCCTAGTACCTTCCTGCCCCCGACTCTTCCTAGATCAGCTCGCATGTGGTTTGCTCTGTGGCCTTGAAGACAGCTGTGCGGGAACACCTGACGGAGTGGGAGTGAGCAGAGGCACTACTCAAACAGCCGCCGGCAGCCGAAGAAATGTTCACCCTCTTGCAGCCTTAGCCTAGGTTTGACTGCTTCTCCTTCAGACCTGCAGAAAGACACCTGTTCCCAAAAGACTGACTTTGGTCTGTTGGGTTTACTTAAAGATCCTGGTTCTCCTTTGTATTATTGCCTCTTACCAGAACCATGCTAAATCACTTTTGTAGTGGATCTATCCCCTGTCACCCATACAAAGAAACCACTATCGCTGTACAGCATGTGTCCAAGATTCAGACCCCTGTACTGGACGATGCTGGATAAGACCCCATTCCCAGTGGGCACCTGATCCCAGAGTCAGAGAGCAGGCCTAGCTGGCACCGGGGCCTCCTGGAAGCTGCTTACTCATGCATCTGTGGAGTCCAGCCCTGGGCTCCCCGTTCCCATCACAGAAGACAGTATTGTACTTGCAAAGACCTATTGCACAAGAGAACAGGGTATGTTTCAACGTATCCCTGAGACAAGTTCCCTCTGTGGCAGCACCACGTGATCTTTGTTCCCAGGGTGACACTATGCCCTTTCTAGCTCCAGGTCTGAGCCAGTCGGCATCCAAACTTGCCAAACTTGTTCTGGAAGGAGAAGATGTGGGTCCCATCCTCCCCCTCCGTCCCCTCACCCCCCAGCACTGCCCCTGGGGCTGTGTTGTGAACTGAAATACGCTGGTTTCTACTGCTAGGAACATCAGGTGTGGGAAATTTGGCACAGGGACAAGTTTCACCACGAGTCATTGAGCCAGGCTTTTCTTTCCCATGAGATAATCTTGGGCGGGGCAGACAATCTCTTAAAATTAAAATACAATGAAAATACATGGGCTTCCCAGGGTTTAGGGTAAATCTCTTTCCTTGTTTTCTCAGAAAGCAAGCCAGGCTCTGCTGAAACCATCCCCATGCTTGTGGCAGAGAGGGCAGAGCCGCAGCGGCACAGACTGCTGGGCCCTAGAGGCAGCCCTGGCCTTCTCAGCAGGGGATTGCGCCTGCTGCTCCCCCCAGCCGCGGGCCAGCGGCAGGAGCCATTCTGCGAGCGCTGCCTCTGCTCGCAGAGGGGGAGCACTC